ATATGGGGTTTCTGAATTGAAGAAGCACTGCCTCTGTTGCAGTTCTCACCATCTCTCAAATCTGTAGTAACTGGCCTAAGACATTGATTACAATGGAGGAGAGCCTTGTGAGCAAATGAAGCAGCATCCAGCCAAGTTCTAAAAATAGAAACAAAAGAAATCCCCTCTCTATGCAGTAATTACTGATCTCACTTGGTTCCTATTGGGAGTTAACATTTATGTCCCTCCCGGCTCTGCCACTTAGTGCTGGGTGACGTGTGCAAGGCGTCAGACCTGGTGATGCTGGGAAGACTCGGGATAATACCATCTGCCTCGCTGGCTCAGAGCTCTTGGAGGACTGGATGAGCTGGATGCCAGCGGCAAAGTTAGCACAGCACTAGAAGTGGGCCTCTCTCGGTGCCCTCTGACAGTCCCCTCCTGGTTGAATGCCAGCAGCCAGATTTTCCAAAATCTCAGGCATCCCCCCAAGGTCCCTGCACAAGCCTCCAGAGTCACACAACAGAGAAGGGACCTTGTCCTGAGTTTCCACAGACCTGTTCCTCCTTGATTCCTGGCCCTGAGGTCCTGCCCTGAGTCAGAATTCTCCTCCTGCCAGACCGTAATTGCTATTAAGAGTTATAAAGTAGCCAGACCATGGATCTTTTCATACACTAAGGGCAGATGTCAGAATTGATTCACTTCTGTTATCCCGGGCCACGGGCCCAGGTCCTGGCATGTATTAGGTGGGTCATTAACTCCCTGTCATCAGTGGGAAGGGCTGTCTGAAACTCTCAGAAACTCAACAGTGGGAGGCAGGCACTCAAAGCCTTACAACCCGAGCAGGCCCTGCCATCCTCGTCCACTGAGAACACATAGGGGACAACCCTATCCAAAGCTGAGTTGGAAACCTCTACTAATGCTGCTAAAAAAAATCAGAAGCTTCAGTCAGGCCAGAAGGGGACCAGGGCGCAGAGGCCCACTGGAGAAATCTCTGGCCTGGAATAAAGCTCCAGGTTCCCACCAGGATCCCTGGACCAACTGTGGGGTTGGGAGCAAATCCTTCATGACTCTGAACTTTAGCTTCCTCGTCCACACAGGATGGAGTCAGGTAGATGAGCTCTAGGTCCCGGCTCAGCTGAGATTTCTATGTCAAACCAGAAGAGAAGCCATGTTTCTGCATCTCAGGGGCCAGTTTGGAGTGTATGCGAGTGACTATGAAGGACCTGAAGTTTCTACCATGGGTCTGAGAGTCTTTACTCTGCAGATCCACTCGTCACTCTTCTGAAGAGTTAGTACTTGGTGCCTCAGACCTCTCCCCTTTGGCTGACACCTCACCCCATGGGTCACCCTTGTCTTGGCTCGTCTACCTGCTCTATTCACTGACCGGAGGTGAAGCCCAGCCCCCTCAGAATCCTGAGAACACACCTTCCATTTTCTCTTCCTACTGAGTTTCTAGGAAGAAAATCTACTAACATTTTATTGGGACACCCGCCTCCCCCAGTCACCCAGATAGTGGAGAATGACATCTAAGCTAGCCAGAGGCGACCAAGTCACAAGCTCCTTGAAGTTCTTCCTCTAAGTGACGTGCCCAGCAGTTAACAACATCTTCCACATGTTCACATGCCTCTCAAGCAGGTGATCTCACAGCACTGCCTTTGGTCAGATGTCCCAACAGTCACAATCGCTACATCCAGAGACAACACAATGGGCACAGAAACAAGGTCACCTCCATTCTGCCTAGGCCAGGTGCTGGCCACAGACTATCCTGGAGGTCAGTGGGTAAGAGGACAAGTTGACACCATGCTGACCTGCTGTACAAGCAACTGTCTCAACACACGGACCCAGAGGTTCACCCTGGACTCCAAGGGGCAGCAGGCCCCTGCGTGGGGTCCCCTTGACCAGGATTCCCAGAAGAGAAGTCAACAGGACGTAGTGCATACACATCACCACACACCATACACATAACACACACACACACCTTACATACCATACACACAACACACATGTACACAGCACGCAGCACACACATGCCACACACAGACATGCCACATACATAACACCACACACAGAGACACCATATACCATACACACAAACATACCACACATAGATACACTCACATATTACACACAGACACACCACATATATATACACCACACACTACATACCTCACACACAAATATACACCACATGCATGTATTCTACACATATACATCACACAGATGAGCACACAATAAACACATACACACCATATACACACCACACACACATACACACACACTGGCTCCCTGCTCAGAAAGACTGATAAAAGTGGGTCTTCAGAGCACAACTTGAAAGCCTTTATTTTGGCAACACAACTGTCTGCCTTCCAGGGGGACTGATGTGTGCTAAATTCCCTCATTTATTTTCCACAAAGCATTACATTCCAGGCCTATGCGTTCAAGAAACCACACTGAACAATATGGCTGCCTTGCTCATGCAGCCGCCATTGTAAAAAGAGCAGGCCTAACGACTCTAAAAGCCCTGGAAAATTGATGTTGAGCACCCAGCACTTTCAAACGCATTCAAATGTTTGTTGGAAAGGACCAACCACCCACTCACAGTGTTGTGTCCGACATGAATACACAGTAGCAGGCCCCGATGTCATACAGTAACTCCTCCCACTTCCAGCACAAACTAAGGCTTCCCAAATTAAGTGAGGGGTCACTCAATGAACAAGTCTCATTTTGAAGATCTCAGAAAATCAGGAAGGCGCCTCTGCTCTCCTCACTGATCCCTCATCACGCACCCTGCATTATACTCCCTCCCCAGGCAGGGAGCAGCTCACAGCAGTTGCTGGGCCAACCACACACCTACCCTCTGGCTTTCATCCCTCTCTATGCCCTTCAAGCCAAACATGGAGCTGTTGTCCAACAAAGTCCATTAATTTCCAACTGACTCCAAACAAAGAATTTCCCTGACTCATCCCACGCTGGTGAGATCATGGCTTCTGGAGCTGAATTTGAAAGTTAAGGCAGAAGGCAGATTTTATGCATCAGCAGAGGGGGAGACTGAGGCCTGAGATTTCTGGGGCTCTGGCAAATCCCTTGTGTACCAGGAACCGAATGTGAGCGTTCAGGATCAATTAACTCTGCACCCCCAGTTTTCTTCTCCTAGGCAATCAGAGAGGCTCCATTCAAACTTTGAAATAATGTATTCATGGGCTAGGTGTGACATTAACAGAGAATACATAAGAGGTACAACGTTAAACTACTTTGTTACATGATGATGGTCTAGTCCTTTCTAAGGACGCAGTCATGGGGCAAAACTGATCATCAAACTGGAGAAAGAATAATGCCATATAACAGGATGCCAGCAAATAAAATCCGTCTCTGAAGAAAAAGGCAAAGAATTTTGCTTTCTTTTGTGCCAAGGTATAATTTGTCCTTAGAGAATGAGATTCCTAGCAGGAGTATATCCTTACAGTCTTAGAATAAAAAAGACATCATTTGCCCACAACTCTGAGGATTTTACACAAACAGTGGTCTCCCCGTGCTAAATGACAATGACACCTGCTTTTCTCTTCAGGGTGTAACTGAAGAGGTTGAAGAGATAAATCTGGAGGTCTTTTATTTCTAACACTCAAAGATCTTGTATCTCGACAGAAGCACAATGTGAACAGTCTTGGGGGCCAGGCGCACTGGTGACAATGAGCTCCATTAAATGAGCACAAAGCAGCGAGGCGGGCCTGGAGGGGGAGGGTGGGAAGGGCAGCTATGTAATGTATTAAAATAAAGGAAACCTCAAGCCTCATCTTGTGATTTAAGAGGAAGTCAGTCATGACCAGCATGCACTTTAACTTATCATCATAGCCATAGCTTGGCTATATTTTTAATATAAACTATCATGCTAGATGGAAAAATGAAACAGCTTCTTACCAGGGAATAATCAGGCCCCCTAAATGATGTACTGCTGTTGTTGCTTTCAATGAAATTGGGTTATACCCCAAATCCTAGCACCTTAGAAAAAACCTTGCCCTCCAACAACAGAAGGAAGTATGAACTCAGACCTGGAGAAGTGAATGGGGGTCTGTTCTCCAGCAGGGTCTCTGGTAGACCACGCTTAATAGAATCACGTATCATTCCATGATCTGCTTTTACACTAACTGAAACCTGCTTGTTCTAATGGCTGAGAAAAAATAGGTAGACTTAAAAAAAAAAACAAACCTGTATCACCTACTCTTGCATAATATGAATTTAAATGAAAATAGCTTGATCTGGGATTTTTTTCTTTCAGAACAAATTGCCCCTCCCTCTCCAACACCCCACCCAAAATAGAAAAACACAGACACATCACAACCACACAGGCATTATTTTTCTAAAAACAGGTAACGTGGGCTTTGTTAGGGCTAATAAACAGAAAGATTTTACTCCCGACCAACAGTTCAAACCGTCCATCAGGGTCAAATTGAGAATGTTTGTGGAATTACTGTACAGACAGGACACACCCTATTTACCCGAAAATCTAAAACACCACAACAGCTTCTGCTCTGAGAGCCTCTCCACCAGAGAAGCCCTGGAAAACCTCCAGTGACAATTTATCTTCCATTGTCTTTAAAGTCTAAATGCAAATGGTAGATAATTGAGCTTAAATGGAAAAAGAAATCAGGAAATGAGCAGCCTGAATTCTTGGGAATTCTAAAACCGGAGATACTTTTGAAAAGCATGAAAATGGGTTTTAAATGTCTTTAAAATCCACAAGGAAATGCAGCATTAACTTATTCTCTGGCATTTGGCCAACAAAGCCAAACTGCTGAAGTACCAGGGGTGCCCTCAGGAGGGGTCCCTTCAGAAAAAGAGGCACCCTTTCTACCCCCCACCCCCCACGGCCTGGACAAGGTGCAGGGCTGAGTCACAAGTGCTCTGGAGTCAAAAGACATGGTGGCCTTCATTAATGGCTGGCACATTCCTGCAGAACACGTAAAGTCACACACATGCACTCCCACCGAACACGTGAAGTCACACATGTACACTGAGTGTCTTACCTCCAACATCGGCCTGGCGCTGTCATGGACAGACAGGATGTGTGTCACCTTGTTCTTGCTTAGTTGCTCTGCATCTCTGGCATCTGTCAGAGAAGGAAGAGGACGGGCATTTTAATATTCTCTGCAAGGGAACTACTCCTAAAGTTTAGCAGGCAATTGCACCAGTGCGGGAGCAAGCTGGAAAATGGGCACAGGAGGTCAGTGAGGAACAGGGGGCTCCAAGCCCTAAGTCCAATTATCAGCCTGATGGAGAAACAATCACAGACCTGGAGGAGGGAGCCCCCCCATCTCGCCCCCGCTGCCCCATTCAGTTAAAAGTGGAATGTCCAGAACATCAACATAATAGCACAACAGCATCGGATCAAAGCTGGTATCAGAAAAGTAGGCTGGGAAACTCAGTGGGCCTTGGAGATTCCACAGGCCCAGCTAATCAGCAAGAGACACATCACAGAGACACCGACAGCCAAACCCCCACTCCTTGCCCACTATACCCATATAAATACCTGCTGCTCATCACTTCAGTGGCCACCCACTCAGGACCCCTCTCCCCTGGAGAGCAGTCCTGTTCTTCCTACCTGCCTACCAATAAATCTGCTTTTCTGTAACTTTGGGTCTCTATGTTGGACTTTCCTCTGCGAAGACCAGAACTGAGAAGCCTGCCTGGGGTTCTGGGACTCTGGTCCTGCTCTCCCAAAACCCCAGTTCAGTAGCACACACGTTTCTTGAACTTCATAATTAACTGTACCCAGAAAAATCTAGACCTAGAGAATTTAGGATGATTGCTTTTAAATATTTTGCAGATAACTGAGTTCACTTCTGGCTGTACAACTTTTGCTACAAAGTGATTGTCAAAAACTTGGAAGGCTCTGACATGAATAAACATTGTAGTGATGACTGCTGCTGTTTAAAGGCAGTGAAAAAAGTGACCTGTGAGATCATTTTGCAGTTGACATTTGTTAAGTTGTAGACAATTAGGTTATTCTTTTATGTGGTGTATATAACAATAAAGATGCTTAACACACTTTAAAATTTTACCTCTTAATGATTAGTAATCTTGTTACAAGGCAGGGTATGGGGCACCCCAGAACCCCAAGCCTGTTTGTTCTAAATAGGTTCTGCCATCCACTACATCAAGACAAAACATACTGTAGTGCATAAGACCTTCAATGCAAAGGAACTTTAAGATAATTAGTGTGCAATATGGAAAAGGGGAAGAAAAAAGTTTCCAAATCAAGCACCCGAAGTTACCCATCTCCTCGTGGGTAAATGCCCATCCAAACAGGGTTGGCCCAAAGTAGGGCCACTGAGGCCCGAAAGCCTGCCACAAATCTAAGGCACCTCCTGGAGGGGACCCACAGGAAAGGAGCAGAAGGGGGCCCAGCACATGCGAGACAGAAGGAGCAAAATCAAAATCAAGATAAAAGCTGCCATTGTTAACCTCCCCACAGATCTTTTGCCCACGTCTGTTTCAACCGGTCCAAGACCAAGAAGCAAGTGCAGCTTCTTCACATGTCTCTGCAACACGAGCCTCCTCCAGGTCTCCTTCGGGCTCCCATCCAGCTTCCTTCCTTCTCCTAGTCTCCTCTCCACCTCTTCTCCTTGCTGCTCAGCCCCATCCTTCCTTGGGTAGGGCAGGGAACTTGAAACCTCCCCTTTCCCTTGGGACCTCCCTGTTACAATCTTAGTTAAAGTCAAATACAAAGAACCCTGTCTATAGAAAATAGAGGAAGCTGCCAAAGACCTTCTTTCCCCTGATGTCAAAAGCAGTGACGGATAGGTCCAGACGCAGATTGTGGTTTATAGCATCTACATTCAGTTTAGGGCAAAGGTAAAAAATAGATCATTTTCTGGAAATTCCATAAAGAACTATCCATACATTGGTTGGTTATTAAATTATCTATCTATGAATCTAAAGAGATGCCAAACACATTCCCTCCAACGCCACTACCTGTAGGAGAAAGACTCAATGAACATTCCTTCTGCTAATCTGCAAAGCAGGGACCAACAAGCATTAGGGGATCAGATCCAAGATGCCCTGGCCTGGCCTGGTATGAGCTTTTAAATGATATGGGGAGAGTGGGGGGGAACAGACTGACAGTCAAATGTTTAATGGTTGTGTTTCTCTGGGACGATGCTCAGTATGTAATGCTAAGCCCAGGGCAAAACCAGTTACCAAATTATAAATGCAACAGCTATTCAATTTGTAAACATACACACACACACACACACACAAAGTTGTGGGGGCCAGGAGGAAGTGGAACTGCTCTAAGGAATTGTCCCAAACAGTGGTACTCTTTCAGGGGTGGAATGACAAGTATTTACATTTTTCTTTTTTATAGATTTTTTTTTTTTTAGTGAATTCAATAGGAATAGTTCTAAAAGATTGGCATGTCTGTGACATACCTAATGAGCTTGTTAAAAAGACAGATTCCTTCCACTTAGTTCAAAATCTAAGGCAGGGCTGAGGAATCTGCATTTCTAATAAATCTTCATGATGGGCTGGAAACTAAGAAACGCTTTTCTAAACATCTGACAGGAAGCTGGCACTTATTTTCAGGTCAGGAAAAGTCTTTAAATGGAATATTAAAAGGATGGTTGTATTGTAAGACTCTCTTCATCGCTGCAATCATCTCAAGCTTCAAATTCAGATGTGAACCACACTTGCCTGCATCACATACCTGGGGTTCAATTCCACCCCACCCATCCCCAAATTATATAAGATGCCTTATTGGTGAGCTTTGAATTAGGCAGGAACTGGAATCACTGAGGACTGCCACAAGCAGTTAACCTCCAGAGTCTCGTCAAGATATTTTCCAATTGCTAACTGCATGCACGTTTTAGACGAGTTAAACAAGACAAAGCTGGAGCTTTCCAAGCTGGAGGAGAGGGAGCCTCCAAAGTGGACTCTTAATAATTTCGTATAGTATCTTCCAGATTCTGGTTCTGCCCAGGATTGGAATTTGAAAGAGCAATATACTTTTTTAAAAAATCATTTCTTCTCTTGACAACAGCTTTATTGAGCTAATTCATGTGCCAGAAAATGTACCCCGTTAAACTATATGATTCAATAGTCTTCAGTATATAGAACTTTTGACCATTGCAGTGATTTAACTTGAGAACATTTTCAACAGCCCCCAAATATGCATTTATAATGTGGATTAAAAAAAGTGGTTGGGGGGGGGTCTCCCTGGTGGCACAAAGGGTTAAGAAGCAGCACTGTGAAGCTATTCGCAGCCCCCGCAGCACAAGTTCAATAGCCGGCCAGGGAGGTGACCCACATGGCGCAGCAGACCTCTCCCATCTCACCTGCTGCTCCCCTCAGCAGTGTATTTCAGTAGATCCACCTGTCCTGCTCCCCACTCTGTTTCTAGTGAATCCTCTCACCTTTGCACCTCTGGCCTGTACCCCAGTTCTTGCATGCATAAATAAATAAATCTTTTTTAAAAATTTAAAAAGTGGTTTGGGATAAAATTAGACATTTTGGGAGACAGAAGACCACCTGATATTGCAAATGATACAAATGACCCTTAGACTTCAAGGAAAAGGAAACCATGCTCTGGCTCTGCACTCCTTTCTGTAGTATCACGTGCTATCTGCACTGAAGTGTCACTTTGGATTGACTCCTTCCAGGCTGTCCACCATTAAGTGTACAGAACACTTCAGCAGTGCCACTGGATAAAGACTTTGAGGCATTACTTCATGACTTCAAGTGACTGTGCTTCTGGACGGTGGCCAACAAGTGTCAGCACTGCTGAGGAGCTCTGGGGGCAGCTGTGACTCCTGGCCTTGGGGACCCAGCTTGTTCACATGTGCATGCCCAGGCTGGAAGGCTCTCCCTGAATACCACATCGCAGGGCCAGAACTTAGTCCTTCATGTCTGACAGTGGGGTCTGCCAAGCAGCAGCACAGTATCATTGGGGGTACACCAGAAATGCAGACCCCCAGGCCCACCCATACCTACAAAATTTGGAATATGAATCCCAGAAGGTCATGCGCTCTGTACACAGGGGAACCCTATGTATGACCTGTGAATGATCTTGACCTGGTGCAAGGGTGCCCCGCCCCCACTGAGGCATGTGAATGCCATTTCTAAGTCAAAAACCAACTCACAGTTACTTGCAGTAACAAATGCGACAAGTCAGTATTAATACAACTATTACAGGCTTGAATTCACGTGGAAAAAATCTAGAGGAACATATGTTGACCACGGTTATCTTGGGATGTGAGATTTTTACGAAGTTTTCACTCTCATTAACCTATTTTTATAACATCGGAATTTTTTAATTATTTTCTTTTTACTGGTGAACCCACATTTCTTCTAGAATCAGGAAATGCAAAAATTAAAAAAATACTTTGAGCCAAATTTAACATAAACTGAATTAATAAGTCAAACGGTCAGTCCTCCTTGGTAGAAACAGCTTAACCATGTTCTTTTCCTTTCTCTACCAATCTCTCTCCTTGGGCCTTGACTCTTTTTTGCCCATTCATGCTTCCTTTTGCTCCCTTCTCCCTGTTTCTAAAGGAGCCAACCCTCACACAGTGGGGCTCTGAACTGGAAATGCCCACTTACTTCATCCTGCTCCTCTCCTACTGGACATCAGGTGTGTGGCTCAGAGGAAGATCCCAGCCATCATTGAAGCAACAGCTAGGTTTCTAGAAGATGCTACACTCCGAGGGCAAAATGACAGTCACATGCTTTCTTAAAAAGGGGAACAAGGGGTCTAGAACTTATGCTAATACAGAAGATAAACAGTAGTGACAAGTCCTACATTTTGAGAAATGCCAAGTTGGCCCCGGAAAACCAGGCATTCCAAAAAGTCAAGCTGAATTGCCTCTGAATAAAATTAACCAGAAAATATTGGAAGGAGCATGGCCAGCAGGATGACACAGGGAGGGAAGAGAGAAGGAAGGTCTCTGTTATGAAGGCACCTAACTCGCTCTGCTCTTACTTCGAGCCCCAAGCCATGTTCTGAGTTATTTTCCCATGTTCTGAGTTATTCTCCCACAAAAATGGGAGGATGTAAATGTGTTTCTGTACATTGCACACACACACACACACACACACACACACGGGGCCTGAGCTCACTTCCCACTTTTCTAGATCTCTGTGGCCATCTTCAAACAATGAGGGCTTCCTCTGTCCCAAGTTGAGAATGTGCTGAGTGGTGAACAAGACATGCCAGTCTGTTCTGCTGCTAGCTTTCTTGAAATACTGAACATGGATTGAGAACTGGGCTGTGTGACCAACATCTGGTGGTAGAACAAGAGCTGGGAAACAAGTGTCTTGGGACACATGCAGAGGTGACAGGGATGGAGGCCCTGCCACGCAGCTGGGGCGGGGGCAGGGAGGGGCTTTATCCAGTTCTAATGGTAATAATGATGGCAACAGAACAGCTACTCTCATTTAATCCCTCCAGCAAACCTCGAGGTAGATACTCTGATCTTTGTCCCATTTACAGGAATGAAAAGTGAGGCTCAGGAACACCTCCCTAAGTCAGCACCAATAAATGTCAGATTTGGTGGCAAGAACAGGTAGGAAGTACCCCATTTTGATCCCAGCCCAGATAGGAAATGGACCCACTGAAAGGATGAGCCCATGAGCCACTAATTATGTCTCCAGATGGTTATTATAATATAAAACAATGTATAACTTTAGAAGGCAGCAAATTAATTTTTGTTGATGCCAGGTCAGCCTGGTGTGAATCACTGGGGAACCACCCCTGGGCACCAGTCCCATGAGCAGACACAGAACAAAAATGGGAGACTGTGACTGTGTTTCTGTACATGACATGCGCGTGCGCACAAGCACACACATGCACTCCCACTTTTCTAGATCTCTTTTCCATCTTCAAACAATGAGGGCTTCCTCTGTCAGCTGACATCTGCTTTTGCAAGTGCTAAGTTGGGAGGAAGCAGTAAGAGCTCCCTTACCTGCCTCCCTCCCTGCTACCTGACCCCTCCCACTGCCAGGGAGGGGCCTCTTTGTGCCCCTCTGGCGGCCTTCCTCCTAGCTCTGAGCAGTGAGCTCCCAATCCCCACCGCTCTGCTGAGAGCCCCTCATCAGATACCAGGCTCCAGGAGCTAGTCTGTTTGTGGGTTTCTCTCTTGGTGGAAAATCATAAGGTGATGGAAAACTGTTTGTGATCAGTGCAGAGTTAAAAAGAAAAAAAAAGGACTATCATCCTTTCACACTGGCATCCAAGGTGATCAGCATCTTGCTTGCGGATTAGGGTTGTGGGCTGTGGGTAAGCAGATTCTAGAGAGGCCAGCCTCACGGCTTCTCTCCACTCTGCAGAGTGCTCCCTGGCTCCTACCCACTCCCCTGAAGCTGAACCTTGAGGACTGGGACATGCATCCACAGGGGACCCCAGCTCAACAACCACACGTGGGCCCTCAGGACATGTGTGTGGAACTACATGGATGCATCCCTTCCTTCAGCTTACTGTGGACTCACCACACCACTGTCCTGCATTTAACAGGAGCCTGACATCTGGTGATTATTCAATAAACATTTAGTGAATTAATGAGTGAATAAAATCTGACCACATACTGATGTCAGAGTAAGTGAAGACAAGGACACATATGGACCATTTGAACAAAGAGGCATGTGGGGCCTCTTTTCACTGGGTGAAATCACAAAGCAATAATCCAGACCTGAGGGATTCTGTGACCAGCAAGTTAGAAAATAGGCATTGATTTTAGAATAAAACGAATTTGAAATATTTTTTGAAAACTGGGTGGGTCCATACATCCTTCTGAAAGAAATTCACCTCCCAAGAGTAGGAATAAAGTTCTCAGAAACTACTGGCAGAAATACTAAATCTGTTGGAAGTGAGTACCATTTTTAATTTGTATATCTTTTCCCTAGCCATTTTTTACTTCTAAGAATTTACCCTAAACTCTGTCCTCCAACTTAGACTCTGCTTCCCCATGAAAACGGTACTAACTCAGTAAATAAACCATTGAAGATATTTTGCTCCCTAACATATCCAGAGCCCCTTGACAATCTACCACAAAGCACTAGCTGCTTTTTCAGAACTACAAAGCTTACTAATTTGGGAACTCCGGTCCTATTTTTAACATGTTCTAGTAGCAATTAGCAGCTGTCAGCTCCCTGGGCTGGATTAGTTCTGAGGCCAATTAGCAGTACTAGAGGGGGAGAAGAGGAAATAAACCGTATGCAGAGAAATCATAAAAAATGGATTGTTTTCTTCATAATCAAAAGGAGGCTGAACTCGCAAATGGAACCAACAACTGGAAAACAGATGGGAGTGAGTTCTGACTTGTTCAGGGTGGGGAGGAGCCTGGATGCCTATTACAGGCTGTACAACCCAGTAGGGGCAGACTTGTTTCTGCAGGTTTCCTAGACCCTGCCCTCCCTATTAAATGCATCCTGTCTCCGACACAAGGAAAGCAGTGGTTCTTTTTTTTTTTTTTTTTTTTTTTACACAAACTCAAATGTCACTGGACATGGGACCAGGATCCCTCCTTGGAAAACAAGCAAAGCCTGATGGACACTACATGCTTTGCTCCAAGGGTTTCTTCTCACCTCTGTGACTATGGAGCCTTTTGGGACAGATGAGCTAAAAATAAACAGTCAATAGCTGACAGCAGATCAATCAATATTGAACAAGCCCCAGAAAAATGTATGAGGAAATCCATACATGATGAGAATCATCTGCTAGAGCTGAAAATGCCACCTATTCTCTCCAGGTGTTAAAAAAAAAAAGGTTCCTGAAAGTTTATTGATAAAAATGTATTGATTTATTGATATTAATTTAATGAGAAAACAAAAAAAAAAAAAGCGAAGAGATGATAAGTAAGCTTACTGGTTGCTAAATGTGCCTTTTAGCTCTCTTTTTTGCATAATTGTGTTCCATCAAGGATGCAGTGTTATGGTGAAAAGCAGATGTCAAGTTGGCCCCAAACCACTGTCAGCCATTGACCCAAGGGTTAGAGCTCATGAGCAAGGCATCTGGGCACATACTGTAGCCACTTCCAGACCACACTCAGCATAAACTGAGTGTTCACCTTCACTCATTCATGCAGGAGAAGACTAAAGCTGGTCTTTTAAAAGGTGAGCACACCTATAGTGGAAGCAATCCAACTATCCATCTATAGATAAATAGATCAGCAAAAATGGTGTCTCCGTATAGTGGAATAGTATGCAACCCTCAAAAGGAAGGCACTTCTGCCACAGCTACAACATGGATGTACCTTGAGGATGTGATGCTCAGTGAAATAAGCTAGAGAAATCCTGTTGTTTCCATTTACACAAGGAACATAGAGTAGTCAAATTACATGGAGAGAGATGGCAGGAAGGTGGTTGCCACAGGCTGGAAGCAGAGGGGAACAGGGATTTAGTGTTGAAAAGGGCACAGAGTTTCAGTTGGGGAAGATGAAAAAGTTCTGGAGAGGATGGTGGTGATGGTTGCACAGCCATGTGAGTGTACATAATGCCACTGAAAACTTAAAAATGGTTAAATGGGCCTATTTTCGGTTATGTCTGTTTCACCACAATAACAACAACAAAAAGAGAACCTCACCTTTGAAGTTGCCGATGTACAGCCCAGGCAGGATCTAGGGGAGAGAGAGAGAGAGACACGAGTGAGCATCACAGACTGGCAGCGACAGAATTCTCCACCCACAGGCCGGGCTCTCACCTGGACTGTGGGAACCAATCCAGGTCTGCCACTTGCCACACCCCTTCCCAGCACCTCCAGGGATGGACATCAGGCATCCTCATCTCCAGGGCTCTCATCTGCCCTCCACCACTGGGAAATGAGCTGAAACACCCACAAACGACTGCTTGTTGGAGCCTGTCAGCTCACAGAACTTAAAGGCCAGAATCCCGTATGGGTCCTTCCAGATTCAGGTGTCCTCCCTCACTCAATCACCCCAGAGCTCCCTGGGAGAGTCCAGCCCAAACCCAAGCATCTCTGGCACCCCCTTCACCCTTCCCATTCCTCTTTTTCTCACTGCATCCTGATTTCATTGGCAGCTTCAGCAAACCATTGTGGGCGCCCTCTGCTTAGGCTGGTCCCTCTGCCAGGAAGCTAGACCCCAGTTCTGAGTCACACCTTGGGGTGGCCTATCCCGAGTCCCAGTCTGGCTTCATTTCCCAAGGCCCTCTGCTCCCGCTGTACAGACGCCGTCCCAGGGGCATCGCTTAACAAAGGTCTGTCCCATCCACTGGCCTGGAAAGCTCTTTGGGCAACACGCAACACATCCTGTCTGTCAGTGTCCCAGGGCGCAGCCCATGATTTCCATTCAATAGACAATTGTTATAATAATGTGCATATGCTCTAAATGCCCATTTTCAATCCATCAGAATCACCAGAAAGTGGTAAAAATTCAGATTTCTGTACAAGCCCCAGCATCAGACCCCATACAGAATGGATCATTAGTTCTAAGATGAGAACGGGGGACTGTATTTTTCACAAGCAACACCCTCCTTTTTGCAAAATACGGAGCTAAGTCTTGTCCCACCAATACTTTGTAAGATACACTGGAATTCAAATATGGACACTGCTCTGGAAGCTACACCCCCAAGGTGATTTCCAAGTACACGTGGCAAGTCAGCCTTGGGGACACTTCACCGCACGCCCAAGATCCCTGACAATAGCCTCCTGCAGGCATCACTGGCATCGCCACCCTGAGCCCCTAGCAGCTCTGTCAGTTTCACACTCCCTATTTTTATCCACTGCTGAATGCAAGGTTAAAGGGTTAAATTGTTCTCAGACTCCTGGGCGTGCGCGCACACACACACAAACTGATCCAAACTTTTCTATGATACTTGTTTTCACAAACTCCAGCGCCTGAAAGCTTATCAGCAAATGACCCAGCCTGAGCACACACTAGGTGTGATGACCTTGAGTTGAGCCTCAAGTCTATAGCTGCAGGGGAGGAGAGCTACCTCCCAAAATCTAAAACTCCAGTAATTTCAGACAAAGTCTCTTCATATTTCTCCATGTATTGACTACATTGGAACTGGCCAATGAGCTCCAGCCAGGTACAAATTTCTTTACCCTTCACCCCAAATGAATACAAATCCCTCCCCCTACCTAGATAAGGAGGCAAATCTGAATTTTTCTCTTGTCTCCCTGCTCATCAGCCTGCAGTAACCTTATTTTTCTCTCCAACCAGAGTCATGTTACGGACCTCAATGCATGTTGGGTAGTGAGCAGGTTGCCACCAAGAAAGCAGGGTATAGTGATTACATGCATTTCTGTACGCATCTTCCCGACAGCCAGCTCCTTTGCTAAAAAACCGAAGGTGTGTGTGAGTCACTGCCAGGGGCATCTATTGTGCTAGGTCCAGAGTCAGCCTATGGGCTGAAGAGGAGGGCTGAGTTGAAGGGTCATAGGTTATAGTGACCAAATGGGACACATGCGTGAATAGAAAGTGCTATTAATAATTATCCAGGACAATAGGTGAAACCTGGAAGTGGCCTGGGCAGGGAGAATACAAGTCACACTGATTGAATCAACACCCAGGGAGGCAAAATTAGCTCAGAGAGTGCCCCGTGAACAGAGAGGTCACTTATGTCAGTGCTGTGGTCATGGCACTGAGGCAGGCTGGTTAGCTCTGTGATTAGGAACATGTGAGATGGGATCTCACAGGAAAAGCACCAGCATCCACTGCCAAGGAGCTAAAATACTTGACAGGTCTTTCTTGAGACATGATCAGTCTCTGAGAGTCTCCTGGGAGGAAGGGTGGAGCAGATACTTCATTCCTGTTTTAAAACATCAGAACAATGCAAGCTCATCTTGGAGATGGACCAAACTGATGTTCTCTGGCAGTTCTTGCCTGTAAGGAGGTTTTCATGTGGAGTCTCCCATTCTCCAGGGTCTCTCTTATCTCCATTAGAATGTGTCATTAGATACTAACAGGCATAGTCATCATATGGCTGATGGTGATGAGGATTCCCTCCTTGAACAAACTTCACTCAGGCTCCTTCAAGTCTTCCTCCTTCTTGGCCAGATAGTTTTAGCAAAGAATCCTGCAAAGCCGGTTGATCAAGAATGTTTGCACTTTTGAAATCCAATCAAGCTCCTCTTCCTCCAGATTTGATATCTAATCAAGTTCCAATCAATTTTTCATCCTGTCCCTTATCCTGCCTGGGAGTTAAGTTACTGGGAATTAAGTTCAATTTCTTAGTTGCAATAGTTTCTCTCCCCTATTGCAACAGTCTTGAACAAAGTCTTCCTTGCATTTTTAGTAACTTTCAGAATAACCTTTTTTTTTTTTTTTAATAACATTGAGCATAGATGACTCTGGATTTATAAAGTTTACGGTTGTGATGCACTATGATGTGAGAGTGTTGGGTGACCCTGAGAGTCAGAATGTCACTACGATGTCAGGTTGGGTGGGCCCGAGTGTCAGTGGCTGCAGGTGAGCTCTCTGCACTCATGGGCTCCATGCTGAGCACTCAGGACACAGATGTGAATGAGAGAAAGACAGTCCTGCCAATGTTCTGCTTCCCTAGGGAAGAAGAAACTGACGCCACCACTCTGAAACCCCCGAAGACTAACAGGAGGCAGTGACACTCAGGCTGGAGGAGTGGGCCAGGAGAGAGGGAGGTGGGCAGGGAGCAGGAGAAACAGTCAGTCTGAGAAAGAAGACTGCTCTCTACTGGGAGGGAGCAGCAGGGAGTGGAGTGGAGATAGAGGGGGGCGAGGACAGTGGCTATAGTCCAGCTCAGTGGACATGGGCAACTCTAGATTAAGTGCCACTAAGACAGTTAAGAAAGAAGAAAGTAGTTTGCTGTACTTTTATTTAATAACAAATAAATAAAACTCTTGGATATAATAAAAACAAAGGAACAGCAAAGTCGTGTGTATGTATAATACAACATTTTCATCCCATGTTCACCCCTGAGAAGCAGACACTGGGTCTTGGGAGGCTAGAGAGGATCACTCTTGTATTTCTGTTTGCACTTTTCTATGTGGCTTGAATGTTCTCATTGTAGGCATGCACCACTTCAATTCATTTTCTTAAAAAGTTAAGGGGGGGGCATTATTTGGAGAAAAGCTTAGGGCCCTATTGTGCTTTTCTTCTGTGTACTTTTACTACCTTTCTAGCATTCCTAACCAACGGTGTTCATCTCAGTTTATAAATAAAAGCAAACTAGGGCAAGAGATAAGTCACCTCTGGACTCTGCTGCTCTTGAAATTTGCTTTTGATTCATAAACCCACCTTTGGAAGCCAGCATCAGTCCAGCTTCCATTCCCTGCCCAACCATTCCTGTCCCACCCCCATTATCAGCTCCTCCTGTGGCCTGACTGTGTCTCCTATCACCCAGAATGAAAAAGCGGGAGTTCCCCCCATGGCACCCTCCCTGCTGAGGGAGGTGGGTCCCACCACAGACCTTGCTCCTTGACCCACACCACCACTCCTTGCAGAGCCTCAGCTCGCCCCAAGTTAATTTTCTGAAGTCAGGTCCTCACCAGGTCACTCTCCAGATCAAAGTGTTCGGTGGCATACCCCATTCCAAGAAAATTAAGGCCACAACTAGAATTCAGCAGAAAATCTCAACCCAGTTTCCCACCTCCAAAGACTTTCCCCCACTCTCCCATTTCCATCGAATGTCAGTTAACCTCTGTGCTCTCAACACCTCTTGCCGCTCCTCTGACTGACAATGTCACTTCTCTTCGCTCTCAAAGTCTCTCTCCACAGAGAAGGAATCTTTGCTGTTTGGGGAACCTTATCCCATGGGTCCACCCCAAAATTATAAATCCTGTAATAGATAATTTATTTTCTTGATTTCCTAGCCTCTGAAGTACTTCCCTAAGTTTGGGGGAATCTTCACTCCCTAACTCTGGGGTCTTGGTGGGAAATACAAGCCAGAAGCTGTAGAAGGCAGATGTTGGCTTGCATTTGCCTTTGCTGCTGTGACTCAGACATGTGACTTGGGGGTGGCAGGTCTCCACTGCTGCTCCAGTGAGAAGCCAGAGCACCCTGTCTTGTATCCCATCCCATGGCAGCAGGACTGGCGGCTCACCTAGGGCCCCTGGAGCAGCAGCAGCAGCAGCATCTTAGGCAGCCCCAGACATGCTCCCCTGACCAGTTCTCGATTTACTCCTGGCAGTGCCCTCATCACCATGTGACCTATTGCCCAAAGCCTCCACATTTGGATTCCACTGTTTGTAACCACAGCCCTTGATTTAGGTCTTCAACCCAGAAAAAAACACACACATGCAAATGAGCTGCACAGACCTCTAGGCAAGCCACGGACTCACAGAGTCCTACCCACCTGCTAAAGCAGCCCCAACAACATCCCTAGAACCAGCTAGAGATCACCCAGATGAAGAGGCCACCCTCCTTTGGACTCTACTTGCACCTCATTTTGCACATACTTCTATTTCTCAGGAGCTCCACAATTTGTTTGCAACTCATGGAACTAAAGTGCCTCGGTTCAGTACCTGGTTCACTGCATCAGCCTAGAGCTCTCCCTACCTCCAGAGTCATTCCTTCCCCTGTCTCCAAGGTACAAAGTTGATCCTGTGACTCCAGTGAAAATCTCAGGGCTCCAGATAGCTAGCTATCACCAAGCCACCCAGAGTCAATAGTCAGCAGAC